AGAAAATTTGCCTTGAAGAGTGTTCAGGCCTTGGGATGAGCTGCCCAGGGAGGTTTGGAGTCACTGGAATTGTCCCAGAGCAGTCTGGATGTGGCCCTTGGGGACAGGCTTTGGGCTGATGCTGGATGAACACAAAAGTCTCCAGGTGATTCTGGGACTCTGGGATTTTTCTTCAGCCACAAAGAACCATCCCAGGTGTCCCTCTCCACCAGGAATTAAGGACAGAGCATCCCAGTGTGGTCTGTGACCTTCAGCCATGGAGTTATTGGAACATTTAGAGGCAGGTTTTTACCAGACATGAATATTTTGGGGGCAGCCTGTCAGGATCCCTTTGGTCAGCAGCCAACATTGCAGCAGAGCAGCTGTTCCTGCGCACCCAGATCCCAAATGCTCAGGAGGAGTCTGGATGTGGCCCTTGGGGACAGCTTTGGGCTGATGCTGGGTGGGACTGCCTCATCCTGGAGGGCTCTTCCCACCTGGATTCTGGGATTCTGGGATCCTGCCAGGGGATCCAGCCCTTCCCCAGCTTGGCAACTTCTGGCCCTGCTCCTTTCCCATCTGCTCAAGCTCTCCTGTGAGGAACAAAGCTTGACCCAACCCCAAACTCAACAGGAGCAATCAGAGAGCAGGGAGAGCAGCAGAAATCTTGGTGCCAGAGCGTGTCCAGAGCCCAGAGGTTTTGGAGGCTGAAAGCCCCACTGGAAATTAAAGTTCTCCACCCTTTCTGCACCTTTGTCTACCATTCCAAGCCCCTTTACTCACACTCATTTAATAATCTCATTTATTTCACTGAGGTTATTCCTGTAAAACCAAGGATGTGAATGCTTGCAGGGCTACAGGAACACTGGAACCCTGAAATTCCACTGCCTTTATTCAGCCTCCATGGCCTGGTTCACATGCATTTAGTCTTAGTCAGTCAAATCCTGAGGAAAATCTTCCCAGGACTGGAAATCCAGAAGTTTACAGAAGGGAAACCATAAATAAACCCCCCTGAGGTGCAGCCTTCACCTGTCCCCCTAAACCAAGGTGATTGGGATTTTCCAGCATCCTCCTCCTCCAGGACTCTCATGGAACAAAATAAATCCAACTGCTCCGACACCACTGCTGTATCATTTTGCTGTTTCAATGTTCCACCTTAGTGAGGAGACAGAGCAAAGCAGGAGAAATAGAAATTATTATTTCATCTGGTGTGTGCCAGAGAACAATTGCCATCCATATTGATTAACCTGTGGGGATTTAAAGCCCACAGGCTGTGAGATCCCAGCTGATGCAGGATCTGCTTTGGGCAACACTGATTTCATGTTCCTGTGTTTATAATTGTGTGAGAATACTGGGAAACCACTGCTGCCACCCAGGGAATAATGTGTTGGCATACCCAGGATTGTGCAGTTCCTGCAGCTCTTACAAGGTGCTAAGCAATGATTAAAGTTACTCTAAAACTGAGCAAGCTGAGAAAAAAAAACCCCAAATCCAGAGCAGTTATGAGTTTTAGCAGCCCCAGAAAGCATTTGATGGCTTTTTAGCTCAGTGCTGGTTTTAAATGAAAATAAATCACCAGGGATTCTGTCCCCACTGCAAAACCTGAGGGGTTTGTTGGCTTCACTGAGGTGCCACAAATTCACACGGAATTTGGCTGAAAGAGTCGTGGAATCGTAGAAATGCAGGATGGTTTGGGCTGGAGGGAACTCAAGGATTGTTTAATCCCAGCCCTGCCATGGCAGGGACACCTCCCACTGTCCCAGGAGCTCCCAATGTCCAGCCTGGCCTCAGGGTCTGTGGGAATTCCATCCCAAACCCTCCCCACCCTGCCAGGGAGGAACCAGAGCATGGAAAGGGATTTGAAACAGGGAAGGGAAAAGGTGTTGGGCAGTTCAGAGGAGAAGGAAATGAAATTCTCCATGGAATCATGGAATCATTTATGTTGGGAAGACCTTTAAGATCACCGAGTCCAGCTGCAATGCTGGATGTGAGGAGATTTAGAAGCCTCCACATGAAAACTCCTGGAGTTTTTCACGGAATTACTCATGGAATGATGGAGTGGTTGGGGTTGGGACCTTACAGATCACCCAGTTCCAGCCCCAATTGCACCTCCCACTGTCCCAATGTCCAAACCCCAATGTCCAGCCTGGCCTTGGGCTCTGGGAATTCCATCCCAACCCCCCCCCATCCTGCCAGGGAGGAACCTGAGCATGGAAAGGGATTTGAAACAGGGAAAAGGTGTCGGGCAGTTTGGAGGAGAAGGAAATTAAAGGGATTTGAAACAACCTTGCCCAAAACTAAAGGGTTCTCAGCAAAAAGAAGGGTCTCACCAGGTTTTGAAGGCAGCAAAGAGAGCAGAAGTTTTCCGGGCTGTCAGAAATTGAGACAAACCCCAGAGGTGACAAAAAGGGACAGGGATGAGTCATTAACTGAAGAAACACCAAAAGCTGCCCTGGCTCGGGTTTGCACAGACACATCTCTCCAAACCAACAAGTAAAACCAGCTTTTGTGGGGTCAGGAACCACAGCTGTCCCACCACGAACCCCACAGCACGGCACAGAGCAGGGCCAGCACCACAACACACAGGAAGGATGCACATTCAAAATAATAATAATTGAAAAAAAAAAAATGAATTACTGGCTTTTATTTTGAGTGTGTTTATCCGTGGCATACTGGAAGGTTTAACAAACTGAGTTCTGCTCAGACAGAGCTCAAGTTTCCAAAGGGATGAAAATGAAAACTTGGCAACACACAGAGCACATATCGGTGTATATTGAATTTTAACACAAATATTTCCCACCAAACTTCCCAATGGCTTTTCCGGTATTTTTTCCTAGAGAAACAGCATCACCTTCAGGCCAAAAAAAGACACATCTCAGTTTGTTTTAATTGGGAAAACTTCAAGAAATCCTTCTCAAAATCTTGCATTTTTTATTTCTTTCTGACCCGAGATTGCAAAACCTGAACATGAAAAAAAAAAATAGAAAAAATTAAATTAAATGTACGGAAATTAAAAAAAAAATTAGAGGGAAGTAACAGTCCCTCCTAGTTTTGGATACACTGAGGTTTCAGAAGAGCCCACAGAGAACAAATCAAGACAGCAAGAATATAAAATATATCTTTTTTTATTCTCCACTTCTTTGCAAAGGGCCAGTTTTATCAACTTCTGTGGCAATTATTCTGCCAGCTGAAATCCCCAGTGACAATAGCACAGTCAAAAGGCCCGTGGGGTACAGGAACAGTGGAAAACAGGATGTTTCAGCCTGTGCAAGATGTTCTCAGCACAAATCAGATTTCTGCTCCAAATTCAGAGATAAAATACTGAAGCCCAGAAGGAAACACTTCTGCCACTGCCCTGCAGAAAGAGCAAACAGAGCAAAGTGAGCAGCCAGGACTGCTGGGACGCTCCCTGCCCGTGCCAGGGGGTGCAATGAGATGAGCTTTAAAGTCCCTCCCAAACAAAGCAATTCAAGGATTCTTTGGTTTTAAATCAGATTTGATTCACTGTACCAGGGAAATCGCAGTGAACTCTCCAAGTAATTCTCTGTAATTCTGTTTTGCAATGAGAGTAACAGAGAACTGAAGGGCAGAGGCTGCGGGGAGCAGGAAATTCAGAATTTCAGCTGTTTCCTCCTGCCCTGCAGGGCACGGCTGTGCTGCTGCTCACACCCAGCCTGGGCAGGTTCTGCACAGAGCATCCCTGAGAGGGACCAGCCCAGGACAGCAGAGCTCTGCTGTGGAAACACTCAGGGAATGGTGGGAATGATTCCTCACAGAGCTCCAGGAGAGCTGGGGAGGGACTGGGGCCAAGGGCTGCAGGGCCAGGAGCCAGGGAATGGCTGCCAGTGGCAGAGGGCAGGGCTGGATCTTGGGATCTTGGGCAGGAATTGTTCCCTGGCAGGGTGGGCAGGCCCTGGCACAGGGTGCCCAGAGAATCACAGGATCCCAGAATATCCTGAGCTGGAGGGACCCCCAGGGATCCCCCAGTGCCCCCCTGCCCTGCCCAGACCCCCCAACAAGCCCAGCCTGGGCATCCCTGGATGCTCCTGGAGCTCTGGCAGCCTCGGGGCCGTGCCCATTCCCTGGGGAGCCTGGGCAGTGCCAGCAGCCTCTGGGGAAAGAAGAGCCTTGCCCTAAAAGCCAACCTAAATCCCTGCTGGGCCAGCTGCAGCCGCTCCCTGCTGCTGTCCCTGTGGCAGGAGCAGAGCCCGGAGCTGTCCCTGCGCTGCCCCTCGGGAGGAGCTGCAGCCCCGGGGAGCTCTGACCTCAGGCTCCTCCAGGCTGAACCGACCCAGTGACCTCGTGGGGCCCCTCCAGACCCTTCCCCATCCCCGTCTCCCTCCTTTGGACACTTTCCAACAGCTTCTGATCTTTTCTTGAGCCCCCCAGAGCTGTCCCCAGCACTGGAGGTGAGGCTGCCCCAGCCCAGAGCGGGACAGTCCCTCCCCTCTGGCCGGTGCTGGTGGCCCCGGTGTCCCCACACAGGGATGTCCCTCCTGGCTCCAGGGCACGGCTGACTCAGCTCCCCTGGCCATGAACCAGGACCCCCAGGACCTTCCCTTCAGCTGGGGCTGTCCCTGGATCCCTGGCAGTGCCCAAGGCCAGGCTGGACATTGGGAGCTCCTGGGACAGTGGGAGGTGTCCCTGCCATGGCAGGACTGGCACTGGGTGGGCTCTGAGGTCCCTCCAGCCCAACCCTTCTGCGACTCCGATTGTGTAGACAAGGCAGGGGATCAGCCGGTGTTTCCGCAGCTGTGTCTCACGGCGAACACGGCGGAGCGGGGCCGGAACAGGCACAGAAAAGGAAATAAAGGCAGGGGGAGAACAGCGCTGCCATGGCGGCACCGAGCGGAGCCTGAGGCGAGGGGCGGGGCTTGCTGGCTGGGGCGTGGCTTAATGGTCATTGTGGGCGTGGTTAGCGGCTGTGGGGGCGTGGTCTCGCTAAGTGTGGGTGTGGTCTGTGTGAAAGGGGCGTGGCCATCCTGCCCCGGCTCCTCCGCCATTTTCCGCCCGGCGGCGGGGCGGGCGGCAGCGCCGGGGATCGCTGGGGATCTCTGGGGATGGATGGCGCTGCTAAGGAGCGGTGAGCAGCGATGAGGAGCCGGAGCGGAGCCCGTGGGGATTCCCCGCCGCGAGGTACGGCTGGAAGGTGGCGGTGTGTGCGGTGTCGTGTCCCCCCTGCTGCCCCCCGGCCCTGCGGTGACAATGGAGCGGTTCCCTGAGGCGGAGCCCGGGTCAGGGCCGCCGCTCCAGCTGCGCTTCCTCCCGGGGCTTGCCTGAAGGCTCCGCGGCTGCCGGGAGCGCTTTGCTGCCGCCGTGTGGGGCCCAGGCCCGTGTGGCGCCCCCTGAACCGCGCATGGAGCCCCAAAACGCCGCCGGGTTTGCTTTTGGCAGCGTCCCGTTCGCTGAATTGACCCCCGCGTTAGCCTGGGAGGTGCCTGGGGGTGGCTTTGGTGCGGGGATCGCATCGAGGCCTGATGTTTGTGAGGCTCTCGTGGCTCAGGCGCGGTTCGCTGCGGCCCCCGCCCAGGCTGGAGCATCCCCAGGCTCCCGTGTGCCCCACTCGGGGCCCTCCACGGGCAGATCCCAAAATCCCAGGGGCTGGAAAAGCCCTCGCAGCCCAGGGAGTCCCAGCTGTGCCCGATGCCCACCTTGTCCCCAGCCCAGAGCCCTGAGTGCCACGTCCAGCCCTTCCTTGGGCACCTCCAGGGATGGGCACTGCAAAGCTCCCTGGGCAGCCCCTGCCAAGGCCTGAGCTCCCTTTCCATGGGCAAATTCCTGCTGCTGTCCACCCTGAGCCTCCCCTGGCCCAGCCTGAGGCCGTGTCCTCCCCAGCGCTGTGGCAGCCCATGGAATAAGGGGCTGCTGGTAATGGCCTTGGGTTATTGTGGTTAAATGATTTCCATATCCTTAGAAGCGGCTTATCCAAAGTTTCCCAGCAGTCGAGGGTGGGAATAACGCTACAGCCACGATGTGGTTCCCTGGCTGGGGTGGGTTCAGGTGAAGGGGATTGTACAGAGCTCCGGGGCCATCAGAGGATGGGGCCAGACTCTGCTCAGTGGTGGCAGTGGCAGGACGAGGAGCAGTGGCAGGAGCTAAAACACAACAATTCCAGCCCAGCCTGAGGAAGAGCTTCCTTCCATGGAGGGGCAGAGCCCTGGAACAGCTGCCCGGGGAGGGGCTGGAGTCTCCCTCTCTGGAACCACCCCAAACCCCCCTGGGCACGTTCCAGTGTCCCTGCTCCAGGTGACCCTGCCTGGCCAGGGGGCTGGGCTGGGTGACATCCAGAGGTCCCTGTGCAGGCTTAGAACACTCCTCTGCAGACTTCCCTGCTGTCAGTCTCTCTGCCTCTCTCAGTTAATCCCATAAGCTGATTTCTGTAAATAAATAGGTCCTCGGCTTGTTTCAGAGAATTGGGAGTGTTTTCCAATGAACTGAGGTAAAGCTTTTCTGAAATATGATCCACTGGCTTTCAAAACCTCAAAGGTGGTTTCGTTTTGTTTTGTTTTTTCCTGATTGGAAGGAAATATGACCCCATCCAGCCTGAACCTGAGAGCCACTGGGATCATCATCCCAGGGCTGGAGCCCTTCTGGAGCCAGGCTGGGAGAGCTGGGGGTGCTCATGTGGACAGGAGAAGCTCCAGGGAGAGCTCAGAGCCCCTTGCAGGGCCTGAAGGAGCCCCAGGAAAGCTGGAGAGAGACAATTGCCAAGGGCTGCAGGGCCAGGAGCCAGGGAATGGCTGCCAGTGGCAGAGGGCAGGGCTGGATCTTGGGATCTTGGGCAGGAATTGTTCCCTGGCAGGGTGGGCAGGGGCTGAGATGGAATTGCCAGAGCAGCTGGGGCTGCCCCTGGATCCCTGGCAGTGCCCAAGGCCAGGCTGGACATTGGGAGCTCCTGGGACAGTGGGAGGTGTCCCTGCCATAGCAGGGCTGGCTCTGGGTGGGATTTAAGGTCCTTTCAGCCCAAGGCAGTGTGATTCCATGAAGTGCAGCTGGGGATGCTGTGCATGTGTCACCCTGAGTTCAGGAGCTCCAGGAAGCTGCCAGGGGATCTCCTGTGGGCACAGCCTGGGCTCGGGGGGCTGCTCTCACTGGTGTTTCCATGGTTTCTCTGCAGGGATTGCTGCAGCTCTGAAGAGGATGACTAAGGAAAGCTCAGCAGATTTCTGACAGAAATGGTTTTGCCCTGGAATCTCCCTGGCACTGATAGATCTTCAGTAGAAATCCAGCTTGAGGCAGCTGTGGAAGCCTGGAGATGAACACATTTTATCACATTTTCTCAAACATTCTGAGGTGCTGAACAAATAACCTGGCTTTGAACATGCACCGTGTAGGAGACTCCGTTGTGATCACATGGAGCCACGTGTGAGTCCCACTGGGATTGTTATCCCTGACAGCATGGGCAGCAAGGATCCAAGGTACACAATCCCTCTGGGCATGGAGTGCTTTGAACAGGGCCTGGGATTAACTGCAAGGCTTGACAAGGAAAAGAAGTCATTTGCCAAGTGAATGCAGCATTCCCAAGGCTTTCTCCTGAAGGGAACATTTTGAGCAAGCTGGAAAATCCCAGCCTGAAGGTGCAAGTGCTCTTTGAACTGACCTCTGCTTGAATAAATTAATAGAATGAGGGGAACGTTGCTTTAGGCTGTGGAATTATCAATTGGCCAGGTCCAAGTTCCCAAGATTTTTCCAGTGACTTCCTACAGTTCTGCCAGAACTCTGGGCACAGGGAGATTGACTTCTCAGACACGGGGTTATAATTCACCTGGTTTTAACAGGTGTCTTCTATCCCATGTTAATATATGAATATACAGGGTTAAGCTTGAGCAGAGTGTGCTCTGGCATGATCTTAAACTGGTTGTTTTGCAGAGAAAATAATTCCAGTTCTATTTGAAAATAATGTTAAATTAAAAAGCAGGTTATTTTTATTAAACCTGAAGGGAAGGTTCTTTAAAAATAGATATACCCTTGCCCAGCTAACTCAACACCAGGTCCTGTGGATATTAATATTATGGGGATATTAAATGGAGTAAAAAATAGTGAAGAGAAGGATTCTCTTAGTAGATCTTATGCATTAAAAAATTATAACATAAACTTCATAGCTCCTTTATAATTATTTTTTTTCTAAGCTCCCTATAGATCTGTTCTCTTTCTGGAAACCTTTCTTACAACATTGAGATGAGTTTATTTCAAACAGAGCCAAGCAAAGTTTGTTTTCATTGTGTTAATGAAGTTGAAGGAGTGAATGGCATTGGATTTTCAGATACTATTTTAATGCAAAGCTAATATAAATAATCATACCATGGCTTCTGCTTTATTTGAAATGGTAAGAGCCCTGTCCATGTGGAAAAAGGAAAGTGCTCTTGCCATAAAATGGACAAAATTGCAGTTAAATAAGGATTTGTGCCCACTCCCTCCCTCAGTAACTCTTTCAGTACCACTGCCCTCCCTCAGGCAATGGAGAGGGTAAAATAACTGTACAGAAAGCTTGGTTTAGTTAAAAGGGATTTACTAAGGTAATTTATTGTGATAATTTAGTAAAATGTGCATGTTTTTCATGTATTTGTAGGAACAGAAGCAAAATGTTTCTTTCAGTAGCAGAGGGGTTTCTCTGCTGATGTCCGTGGGAGCCCTGATGGATTTGCCAGTGCCTCTCTGTCAGCTTGGTAAGTTCCTGAACCTTGGGTTAGAGAGGAGCAGGGCTGGGAGTTCATTAATGCCTTCATAATCCTGCTGAGTTAATGAAGTGAGGGAGCATTACTGTGGAGCTCTCCCTGGGGTAATTCCCAGAGTAAGGATCTCTGTTCTGTGCATAAACCTTGAGCAGTGGGAGGTGTCAGGCTGGGAGAGCTGGGGGTGCTCATGTGGACAGGAGAAGCTCCAGGGAGAGCTCAGAGCCCCTTGCAGGGCCTGAAGGGGCTCCAGGAGAGCTGGAGAGGGACTGGGGCCAAGGGCTGCAGGGCCAGGAGCCAGGGAATGGCTGCCAGTGGCAGAGGGCAGGGCTGGATCTTGGGATCTTGGGCAGGAATTGTTCCCTGGCAGGGTGGGCAGGGGCTGGGATGGAATTGCCAGAGCAGCTGGGGCTGCCCCTGGATCCCTGGCAGTGCCCAAGGCCAGGCTGGACATTGGGAGCTCCTGGGACAGTGGGAGGTGTCCCTGCCATAGCAGGGCTGGGAATGGGTGGGCTCTGAGGCCCCTTCCAATCCAGGCCATTCCATAATTCCAATGTCCAGCCTGGCCTTGGGCACTGCCAGGGGTGGTAGAAACTGCAGTGAGGCTGAAGAAGATTCCCATGCAGTTTCCAGACCATCTGTATTTCCTCAGGCTGAGTTTTCCCAGTTACTTGTTCTCTTGGCTGTGTCTCCTCTGTAAGAGTGTAACACAAACAGTTCTGCAACTGTTTAGCTTCCTTTGCTAAACTTGTTTGTTGAAACAAAGTTCAGAGGCGGTTTGAACTCAAGCTAAAAGGACTTTGGTTTGGCTAGAGAAGAGGCATTGAAAAATCAAATAATGCTAACTGGAATGCACCAACAACTCAGCAGACACAAATTATTACAAATCTGAGTTTGTGTTCAGATAATAATAACTGTTAAAATATTGCTTTATATATCCCCACTGCATGTTTTATTTTTTGAATGGGTGATTTCCTGCCTTGTAAGAACTCCACTGTTCTACATTTAACTGGAGTTAAAGCCATTATTTGTGGATCTCCATAAAGATTGTTTAAATTTTCTAATTCAAGGTCCAGATTTCTCTTTTCACAGTCATGCTGACTGTGGCACATCTTGTTAGCACAACAGGTCAAGGCAAAAGAGAGTTCTAGGGAAGATAAGGGAGGAACTTTCCAAATGGATTTAATGTAAAAAAATGGAGAAGAAATGTGTTTGGAATTAAAGTAGTGACTGTTTTTGCCAACTGAGTGTGGGAGTCAGCATCTCCCGAGTCAGAGGCATGACCACAAAATGCCTTTCAACAAGAACAGGAAGTTTCCCCTTGCTACACTCAAAGCAGAAGGGAGGCTAAAAGGTCTAGAGAAAAAAAATGAATTAGAGGAGTTAGAACAAAAACTTCAAGTATTTTGGAGCACTGTGTTGAAAAGATGGGAATAATGAGAAGCTGGGTTGGTCAATTAAAAGGGTCCTGGATGCAGAGGGAGCCAGGGTGGATCACAGTGTCCTAGGGAGGTTTTTTCCCCTTGGATGTAGGAACCTCTGGAATGGCAGGATTGCCCAGGGAAGCTGTGGCTGCCCCTGGGTCCCTGGAAGTGTCCAAGGCCAGGCTGGAGCAGCCTGGGACAGTGGAAGGTGTCCTTGCCATGGCAGGGGTGGAATTGGATGTTCTTTGGGGTCATTTCCAACCCAAACCATTCTGGGATTTATGAGGATGAGTCAAGCAACAATGGAATATTTTCCCAGATCAGTTCTAAGAGTCTTGGAATGGCTTGAAAAATACCTTTGAAAAGGTGTTTGAATACCTTATTCAGTAAGGTACAGTCAGAGTCCTCCAAGACATGATTTGATGAGACCATCTTGCGTGCTTTTGCTGACACTGAGTCTTGAACCTCACATGGAGGGAGCAGAGATCTAAGAACCAGCTCCTCAGAGCTCCAGGCTCATGGACACTTCTCCCAGGCTCTGGAGAAGGAGGGAAAGTTGTAAGAAGATGTGAAAGAAAGTAACAGTTCCACCAGGGAATACTGAGTATGAACCCAATTGTTGCAAATGAGTATTTGCAATAAGAATCTGATCCTGTGGATACACCAATGCATTAATACAGAGTTTCAATTTCCAGTGTACCTCACCTTTCTGTCTACAGCTGTTTGCAGCCAGGATGGTAAGAGTTTTATCATCTTTAAAATGCTTTACCTAACACATTTCATAACTTGCACATCCTCATCAATCATCATTTTGGAACTTCATGCTTTTTGGAGAAAGAACTTGTAGAAGTGTAATTCATGTGCACAGTGCTTTGCATTGCTCTGTCTGTTGTGCTGAGCTCTCACCTGTGGCTGCTTTTTGGGGGCAAATCCTGAGCTGATCTAAAATGGATTTATTTATTAGAATTGTTGCAAGTCTGACTTGTTTGTTGGGTTTTTTTGTGGGGTTTTTTTGGTGCTTGTTTATTTTGGTTTGGTTTGTTTGTTTGTTATTTTTATTCTTTCCTTTCTAGAAGAAATAAAACTCCAGATGGACTCCCACAATTTCCAGCACATTTTGTCCTGGCAGGCAAAACATGACCCAGCTGTGCCAGCATCCTACAACCTGCTGTACAGACACCACAGGCAAGTCACACAAAATGAGGCACAAATTTTCCTTTTAACGTTTATTGACCCAAAGAGGAGGGAGCTTTGCAGTGCCCATCCCTGGAGGTGCCCAAGGAAGGGCTGGACATGGCACTCAGGGCTCTGGGCTGGGGACAAGGTGGGCATCGGGCACAGCTGGGACTCCCTGGGCTGGGAGGGCTTTTCCAGCCCCTGGGATTTTGGGATCCTCTGAAAATACTAAGGCTGAGGGTTTTTGTTTTTCTTAGTTTTTGTGGGTTTTTTTCCCCTCAGAAATGCTCTCCTCACACTCCCACGCCTTCTCATATCAGAGAATTGAGGCTCTTTTGCTCTTTTCTGCAGGAGCCAGACCTGGATGAGTGCTCGGCAGTGTTCAGGTATTGCCCAGCTCTCCTGTGAGCTGACAGAGGATTTCAAGGACAGATCTGCTGTGTATCATTACTTTGTTCAGAGCGTTGGAGGAGCTCAGGTGCTCAATTCTTCTGTGCTGGTTTTTCAGCCATTAACTCAGAGTAAGTTCCCTCTCTGCATTTCTTCTTTTTGTAGTTTTTATTAGCAGCTCATACCTGTGTTATATTCTGCTCCTTTGCTGTAAGCCTCCACTGGGTTGGTGGCTATTTGTATCTGGTATTTCATATATCTGTTACAAAGCTTCAAGCATATAGATAAGTTTCTAAAATGAGTAGTTCTGATAAAGGAGTAAGGCTCTGGTTTTGAAATAAATACATATATACATATATATATGTAATAAATATAAAGGAAATACAGTTGTGCATTGACAAACACCAAGTAAAAATCTCTTGGCTGTGTAAGGTACATAATTTAAAAAACAACATTGTTTTTGTGTGTTCAGATAGTGAATGCTGAGTTAAAAAATGCCAGGTCTGCACCAGGTGTGGGGAAGAGATTGATTGTTTGTCCATCAATCTGCCCTCTTCCCTGCTGAAGATACTTGTCTTTAATGCCAGAGGTGGCTTCACCCTTGGCTTTGCTTATAATTGAGTTTTGAGCTAACAGAGGCAGAAATTGAGGAACAGCTGGAGAGCTGTGGAGGATAAACTGATCATGTTTCCTTTGAAGTCTGCAGAGGCAGCTGCTGTGTCCACTTCCAGAGTGAGAAATGAGGGAACATTGGAGGGAATGGGGAAAATGGGCAGAAGGAGAACTGAAGGGCTGGAGAACATCCCTGAGGAAGAGCCCTGCAGTCCCACAGCAGCTGGTTTAATAGAAAGCACAGGACAAGGGGGAGAGGCTTTAAGCTGGAGGAGAGCAGGGCTGGATGGGATCTTGGGCAGGAATTGTTCCCTGGCAGGGTGGGCAGGGGCTGGGATGGAATTGCCAGAGCAGCTGGGGCTGCCCCTGGATCCCTGGCAGTGCCCAAGGCCAGGCTGGACATTGGGAGCTCCTGGGACAGTGGGAGGTGTCCCTGCCATGGCAGGGCTTTGAGGTCCCTCCCAACCCAAACCATTCCATGATTCTATTCTTGCACTTTAACATCAGCTTTAATCTCAGGTAGATACAAATCTCTGTGAAGCTGAAGCAAAGCTTCTGCCCCCTTTCTGCTTCTTCCACCCCTTTCCCTTTAAAATGTGTCTCTGGGGGAAATGATGATTTGGCTGTGGATGTTAAATGTTGCAATGCCTTGTGGATTTACAGCAGTGACCCCTCTGGAATGTGCTGAGCCAGCTCAGTTTGCATCAGAAATTGAATTGGTACTGGATAAAGTGTGTCTTTTTTCCATCATTTTTTCCTCTTTCTTGTTTTCCAACAGCAATTCTGGGACCACCAGAAGTGAGTATCACTTCCTGTCCAAACTGCATCAATGTCACCATAAAGCTGCCAACCTCTCACTTCAGGGACAAGGGAAAGCTGCTGTCTTTAATTGATATCTATGAAGAGCTGAATTATGATATCACCCTGAAATCACTGGAAGGAGAGCATAAGGTAGGGAAATTTGGGGCTCAGTTGTGCTTTAGGGGAAGAACACAGAGGGTGTAAAATGGTTCTGATGGTTAACAGCTTCCCAAAAACAAATATGTGAATAGAAGCAAAAGAAAACATAGAAATTGATTTCTTAGAAGAAAAGAAGGACCATGGCCAACAGAATCTGAGCTTCCTTCCACTGCAGGGGGACAGTCTGGGAGACTGAGCAGAGGCTCTTTTGAGCCAGTGAGTGACTTCAAAACGTTGTTTTTCACTGCAGAGGCCACGGCAGAAAACCACTGAAGAAGTGTTTAGTACTGTCATTGAAGAATTGTATCCCGGCAGGAATTACTGTGTGTCCGTGGTGGTCACTGCCTCCCTGAACAAATATTCCATCCCCTCCCCCTGGACATGTGCCACTGCAGACTCGCAGGCTCAGCAAGGTAACGGAGCTGTGGGCAAGGGGTTGGTCTGAGAGGGCCATGTTTGCTTTTGGTGTAGGGACATTTACAGCTCAGTCCTAAAAAATGAGTGATCACAGAAATCATGGAATATCCTGAGTGGGAATGAACCCCCAGGGATCCCCCAGTGCCCCCCTGCCCTGCCCAGAGCCCCCAACAAGCCCAGCCTGGGCATCCCTGGATGCTCCTGGAGCTCTGGCAGCCTCGGGGCCGTGCCCATTCCCTGGGGAGCCTGGGCAGTGCCAGCAGCCTCTGGGGAAAGAAGAGCCTTGCCCTAAAAGCCAACCTAAATCCCTGCTGGGCCAGCTGCAGCCGCTCCCTGCTGCTGTCCCTGTGGCAGGAGCAGAGCCGAGAGCCTCAGTGGCAGAGAGAAACATTCCAAGAGAACCCATTGTGGGTATTTAGGAGTGGAATATAAAACCCCGTCGACTTTGGGGCAGCAAATCTCTTGGCAATCCCCTGAGCCATCTCCACCAACTGTGCATAAAGATGGAGTCACTTCTGTTTTAGAAGATAATTTGAGATTTGGTCTTGTTTTGACTTTGACTTTCACAGGTCCCTTCTAACCAAAATTATTGGTGATTCCTAATAGCTGTTGTGACTGTGAGCTCTGCAATGTGGTCATGGGACACTTCCTCCATGTGTGTTTATTTGATTTTTTTCTCTCCAGGGTATCATGAAATTGCAGTGGCAGGTGCTGTCTGTTTTTCACTGATAATTGCTGCAGTCCTGAAGTGTGTGCATGCAGCAGGTTTCATTGCCCAGAAGATATCCCTTCCTCAGAGCTTGGTATGTAACAGCTCACATCTGCCCTCTCTGGCTGGCAGGCGGAAGTTTAACAGCAGCAGTCTCCAGTCCTGTGCTTTAGGTACAAGTTATGTCAGAGCACAGAATATTTGCATTTGTGGTTTGCCTCAGTCAAAGGATCTCTAGCCTGCTAAGTTTTATCTGATCTTCAGAAAAAAATCTTCAAAATCCAATTCTTCCTGCTTCTGTGACAAGTTACTAACAGAGAGGATCATCCCACCCTGCTCAGGGGAATATCCAGGAATATTCCACCCGGTTCTGGTCCCCACAGGGCACAAAAGGAGTGGACAGGCTGGAGCAGGGCCAGGGGGTGAGCAGGGGGCTGGAGAACCTGCCCTGTGAGGAGAGAGTGCAGGAGGAGTTGTTCCACTGTTTTATAATAATAAAATATTCTCTCTCGGACTTTCTCTGTGATCAAGTGTTTTAGCACCTGAGGAAGCCAATGCAGAGGCAGCTAATTTTTTATTTTCATAGACTGAACTGCCCCTAAATTTCAAGCAAAAATAACAAGATTTCTTGTTTCTATCAATTGCTTGCTTGTTTTATATTTTACAGTCTCTGACTTGTTTTACATTTAATTCTGTAGGGTTTTTCTGCATAAATGTTTTCCATTTTCTACAAACTTACCCAGAGCAGATGGCTGTCACTTTTTGCTAAGACTTTTGCCTCATGTTTCTGTCCTTTGCTGTGTCATCACTTTCACATCCCAACAATTGCTGAACACTTTAAAAAGGAGTGTCTAAGGTTTATTCATATTTTATCATTGACATGATGCTTTAAATATTGAATAATCCTCTGAATCGCAGAGGGAAGGTGGGGCTTGGGATGTTAAAATGGTGAAAATTGCTTCAAATGATAATTTCTAAAGGAAGTGAAAATTGCTCAGCTGTGATAGGTGACTGCAAGGGTTGAGAGTGACAAGACTCAGCTCACCCTGGCACAGGTGCCCAGAGCAGCTGGGGCTGCCCCTGGATCCCTGGCAGTGCCCAAGGCCAGGCTGGACATTGGGAGCTCCTGGGACAGTGGGAGGTGTCCCTGCCATGGCAGGGCTGGGAATGTGATGATCTCTTAAGATCCCACTCAAACCATTCTGGGGTTCTGTGATGTTCAGGAATGGAAAAGAAGGTGAAATCCTAGATACCCTGAACTCTGCAGAAAAAGCTGAATTGGTGGCACAGAAGGAATAATTTGTTTGACAGCCTCATGGCTGAAGGTTATTTGGGGTTTTTTTCATGGTTTTGTAAGTGTGGATGCACTGATTTAATTCCTTTTACTCTTCCAGGAATGCATCAGGCAGTTGGCCTACTCAGCTTGGGTGTGTGAGCCAGAGAACACGGCCTCTGTGGAGATCATCCCCAGAGAGGTGAAGAGCAAGGCCAGGGCGGGCAGAGGCAGTGCCAGCGACGACAGTGACAGCAGTGACAGTGACAGCAGTGCCCTGTGTGACCACGACTACACGAGGCGTGAGGGGCTGGGCAGGGGCAGCGTGCCCCGAGGCTGGCTCACCCCCAGCACCCTGGGGCAGTACTCGGTGAGCAGCAGTGAGCACAGCCAGGCTGGGGACAGCGTGGCTGCTGAGCCACACGAGTCCCAGGAGCAGCAGGGACACCCTGGAGGAGAGGGAGACACGAGGAGTGAGTTCCTGAGTCCTTTCTCTGAGTCCCAGGGGAACAGCGAGTGCTTCACCATCAGCTTACAAACGGTGCAGCTGGGAAGCCTGGAGCAGGACGGGCACAGCTCTGCAGCTCCTCCAGCCCAGGAGGATGAAGGTGACTGGCACTGTGCTCATGATCTGCAGGCAAAGGAGGACACAGGAAGTGTGCAGGATGCTCCTTGTTCTAATGACTTCTATGAGTGGCAAAATTCTTCCTCTTCTGAGGAAAGCAACCCTTTGGACTCAGACACAGAGCATGGGACAGGGTACATGAGGAGATGAAGGAAGAGCTACTTTTACTTTATTACAGGAACTGAATTCTGGACTGAACACGCTGATCTTGTCCTTTCATTAACATCCTACGGAAGGAGCTGGGGGTGTTTGTCTGGAAAAGGATCTGGAGAGACCTTAGAGCCCCTTCCTCTGCCTGAAGGGGCTCTAAAACAGGGGCTTTGGAGAAGGGATGGAGGGACAGGACAAGAGGGAATGGCTTCAACCTGACAGAGACCAGTTTTGGATTAGAAATTGTTCCCAATGGGGATGGGGAAAGACAAAGGGCTGCAGGGCCAGGAGCCAGGGAATGGCTGCCAGTGGCAGAGGGCAGGGCTGGATCTTGGGATCTTGGGCAGGAATTGTTCCCTGGCAGGGTGGGCAGGGGCTGGGATGGAATTGCCAGAGCAGCTGGGGCTGCCCCTGGATCCCTGGCAGTGCCCAAGGCCAGGCTGGACATTGGGAGCTCCTGGGACAGTGGAAGGCTGGACTCTCAACCAGACCACTTTTTCAATTTTTTCTTGTTCTTTATTTCTGTCACTGGATTTTTGGGAAGCCTGTTGTGCTGGCTGCATGCTCTATTTGTGCAGAGAGAGCTGATCAAGTGGAATAATGGGGGCAGAGACAGGAATACTCAGCTGACAAAAGAGTCGACCGAGGCATTAATACACTTTTTGAATTTATTTTTATATAATTTTCTATAATTAACAACTCAAAATATTTTCACGACGTTTAAAATCGCCGCGGTGAGCAGCCTCGGTGTGTGAGGGGAAACAGCCTCGGGGCGTGAGGGGAACCCGCCATGCCCGGCCCGCCCCGCGGGGAAGCGGAAGGGTGCCGGGGCTGCCCCGTGCCCGGCCCGCCCCGTGGGGAGGCGGGAGGCTGTCGGGGTGCGGGGAAGCGGAAGGGTGTCGGGGTTCGGGATTTCGGGCTGTCGGGCCGGCCCCGCTCCCGCAGCCATGGCGTGGCCGCCGCGCCGCTGCTGAGGGAGCCGCCATGGCCGCGGCGCTGCGGGCCGCGCTCTGCAGCGGGCTCCTGCTCTGCGGTGAGTCCGCCGGGGAGGGACGGGGGGAGGGATGGAGCGAGATCCCGGTCCCGCCGGGCGGCGGTGCCCTCAGGGGGAGCGACAGCGAGATGCGCCCGGGGAGGCGGTGCCTGAGGGGCGATCCCTGAGGGGGCGGCGATCCTTGAGGGACGATCCCTGAGGGGGTAGCGGTGACTGAGGGGCGATCCCTGAGGGGGCGGCGGTGCCTGAGGGGGCAATCCCTGAGGAGAGGGCGGTCCTGAGGCTCCGCACTGCCCCGAGCCCGGCGCGGCCCCTCGGGGGCTGTGAGGAACGGAGCGGGCGGGCGGGAGCGCCCTGTCCAGCCCGCCCGGCCTCTGCGGGTGCCGGCCCGGCGGTGCCGGGGTTCCGCCGGCGTTATCGCCCCGGGGCTCACTCTGTGCCGGGAAACGGGGACGCTCCTGCCGGGATTGGGACATTGTGCAAGTCCCGGCGAGGAAAGGTGGGCGTGGGGGTGAAGCTGCGTTCCGAGAGCTCCGTGTCTCTGTCTGCAGAGGGTCGGGCTCTGCTGCCAGGGAACAGGGACAGGAGGAGAGGGAACGGCCTCAGGCTGGGCCAGGGGAGGCTCAGGGTGGACAGCAGCAGGAATTTGCCCATGGAAAGGGAGCTCAGGCCTTGGCAGGGGCTGCCCAGGGAGCTTTGCAGTGCCCATCCCTGGAGGTGCCCAAGGAAGGGCTGGACGTGGCACTCAGGGCTCTGGGCTGGGGACAAGGTGGGCATCGGGCACAGCTGGGACTCCCTGGGCTGCGAGGGCTTTTCACAAAGCTGAAACCCCAGAATTTCCTCATCTCTTTGGCTCCACAGTGCCCAATATACCTGGACACTCCTCAGGTAGGACGCATTATGAGGGAAGAGAGCCTTGCAAGGAAATGTTCATTTTCCTGGCAATTTGCATTCCTACCTCAGATCTCATACTCAAAGGAGGGGCAGCGCTCCAAGAGAACTGAGAGGGACTGGGGCCAAGGGCTGCAGGGCCAGGAGCCAGGGAATGGCTGCCAGTGGCAGAGGGCAGGGCTGGATCTTGGGATCTTGGGCAGGAATTGTTCCCTGGCAGGGTGGGCAGGGGCTGGGATGGAATTGCCAGAGCAGCTGGGGCTGCCCCTGGATCCCTGGCAGTGCCCAAGGCCAGGCTGGACATTGGGAGCTCCTGGGACAGTGGGAGGTGGCCCTGCCATGGCAGGGCTGGGAATGGGTGGGATTTGGGGTCTCTCCAGCCCACACCAGTGTGTGATTTGAACTTCTGTATTTGTGATGTGCATTGTGTTTGATTTGTTTGTTGAGTGCAAGAGTAACACTGTAAAAACAGATTCTGAAATAGGTTTTGTTTAAGCCAGATTCAGATTTCAAACTCATCCCTGCCAGAGGGGGTGACTGCCACAGGAATTTCATTCATTTCTGCATCAGCTGGGGACATGGCTCAGGGCTGGTTGTGGGGGTGACACAGGGTGACCTTGAAGGTCTCATCCAGCCCTGATGATTCTGTGAACTACAGACATGGAAAATGTGTTGTTTATCTTAGATCAACTGTCATCAGGTGTGACTCCTGTGACATTTAAGCACTGCTCTGGCAGGGTTTGTTTGCATTGCTCATTTGTTGTGCAGTAATGGGCTGGAATCTTTGCTATTCTTGTCTCAATACCTACAGTTGCGTAAGAATAATTAAATCATAACAGTAATGGACTTTTCATTGATACTTTACACGACTTTAGGGTTTCTTTTATTCAGTTCCAAGAAAGGAGAAAAACTGGGGTTTTGTCACTTGTGAATAATGCTGATTAATGATACTTAATTATATTTAATTATATGTAATATCTCTATTACCTTCAGAGGTGCTTCTGGTTTATCTCTGTTTATCAATCCCCACACCCTTGTTATTCCCACAGTGCTGCTGGAGCACTGCTTAGAGAAATTTGGGGTTGACAGTCTCAGGGAGAGTTCATGCCCTGAGTCCTGGGCAGCACCAGCTCAGTCATGCCCAAGAACTGTTGGTGTCGCGAGAACTTACTGGAAGTCGCTGGTGCCAGTAATTTGTTTTGTTGCATAAGGAGGCAGGGGAGGCATCAGGATTTAAATTAATTTGATTTGGCTTTGTTCTACATAAGCACCTCAGGCAAGGCAGAGGCTGCATTTAAATTTTGGATGAGTGAGAAGTGCTGGAGCAAACACTGCAATGTTTGGTTCTGATTCCTCCCACAGTTTCTGGAATGATCCCAAAGCCCCGAAACGCAAGGATCACTTCAGTCAATCTTCACAGCACCTTGCAGTGGGATGCACCAAGGTTCCCTGAAGGGAACATCACCTACACTGTCCGATCCAAGAGGTAGGTCTGGGGCTGGGCTGGCTTTAATTCACATCTTACAGCTCTGTGTGCTTGGGTTTTGTGTCCTTCCAGAGCACAGTCAGGAGCTGGCCATTTATTTCAGCTTGTGAGAGGCTTCTCTGCAGAGCTGAAGGACAGGGCAGAGGCATTTTCTGGGCATTCACACCCAGGGCAGTTTCATCCTGTTTGTTCTGGAACCACAAGCACATTCTAACACTGGCTGTGTGTGTGGATTTTCTGTCTCATGGAGAATCACTCTCAATCACTCTTACCTGTGATGGAAGAGACCTGGTTGTGCTGAGTGTTTGCCCTTCCCCGAGCTCTCATATGCAGCCAGCCCAGCCCAGCCCAGCCCATCCCATCCCATCCCAGCCCATCCCAGCCCAGCCCATGCCAGCCCAGCCCAGCTCATCCCAGCCCTGCCATGGCAGGGACACCTCCCACTGTCCCAGCTGCTCCCAATGTCCAGCCTGGCCTTGGGCACTGCCAGGGATCCAGGGGCAGCCCCAGCTGCTCTGGCAATTCCATCCCAGCCCCTGCCCACCCTGCCAGGGAACAATTCCTGCCCAAGATCCCAAGATCCAGCCCTGCCCTCTGCCACTGGCAGCCATTCCCTGGCTCCTGGCACTCTCTGCCTATAGGAAAGTTCTCTCTCTCCTTGATAAGGCCCCTCCAGGCACTGGAAGGAGCTCTGAGTCATACCCAGAGCCTTCTCTTAAAGCTTAGTTGAGAGATTTTCTGTAACCATGGTCCCTTGATCAGTACATTTCTGGGCAGGCTTTTGATGCAAAGCAGAAACACTAAAATATATTAAATACCATCTATCAAATCATGTATTGATCAAGGCCAGGCTGGATGGGGCTGTGAGCACCTGGGACAGTGGGAGGTGTCCCTGCCATGGCAGGGGTGGCTCTGGGTGGGCTCTGAGGTCCCTCCAGCCCACACTTGCTGTGGTTCTATTCCATAAGCAGTTCCTGGTAATTTCCCAGCCCTGTTTTCTCTGGTTTGTCCTTGTGTGCAAACCCTGGGGACAGCTCTGAGCAGAGTCCCAGGGGGACAGCAGTGCCCTGCAGTGGCCCTGGCTGGGTGTTTGCTGGCTTCTCTGAGCTCCTGCCTGCTGAATGGGCTGTTGTCACCCCAAAATTCTAATTAAAATTAGAATTTTAATCCCTAAGTTTCTCATGGATTTATAGACAGGTATAAAATCTTTAGTGTGAGTCTTACACTGGATACATTTTTATGTCCTTGAGTGCTAATGTTGCATACAGATAAAACCTTATAAAGGAAAGGCCTTATAAAATCAGGCCTTGCTCAGCTAAATTAACAGCTAGCATGAATGAAAATCAATTTGCATAACGATCTAATAAGAAAAACTAGTTGCACCTATAAAAAATAAAAGGTCTACCCCATGAGAATCCATTTAAAACATATGTAAATGCTTATTGACGAGAGAGTCTAAACACATATACACACAATCACCTTCTAACTAATTAATGAAGTGGCAAAAAAAATTACTAACCAATTAAAATTAACCACAAAGCCTTTAAAAACTATATAAAAATAGGCTGTAACATGAAAGAGAGGCTTTAGCCACTAAAAGTGGCTGTTTGAAGTGTTGTACCCCTTCCTCACCCCTGTTACACCTAACTGCTCACCTTGCTGCCTTAGACATTCAGCCAGCTCCCATGTGAAAAACGAGGTTTGTATTTTTTTATATAGAATTAAAAGTTTAATAGAAAGACAATGAGGAGATAAAAATAGAGTAAAATATACAGATACAGCTCAGCATTCAGCCAAGATAGCACACCTTACTAACAAAGGATTGTCCCTTTAAAACAGGACCCTACTACAGATTCATAAATTCTTATACATATTCAAACATTCTTCTTAAGTTTTAGATGTTTCTTTGTTCAGTTTTCACCTTGCCCCCTTCCCAATAAATCAATTTTCTTGGCACCACTGGGTTTTATATCCTCTGATAAGGGCGCAATAAATCCTTCTCTTGGAGGTCTTGGAGGACAAGATAATCTTAAGAATTCAGGGGGGGTCTCTGACCATCTTTTCAGTCTCTGGGTTATATAAACAAAAAGTAGTTTGTGCTTTAATATCATGTTATAGCCTAACATATATATGTATTATACCACTATTTCTAAGTTTCATCAGTAACAGAAATAGAGGGAACTGTATTAACACAACAAAGTTTTCTAACCTTATACATGTAACATTCACTTTAATATTTATGAAAAGCCAATAATATAAAATGTATCTATAACCTCCCCCACTATTATGGCACCAAACCCACGGTGAGAGACTTCTCCCGGGTCAGGCTGTTCAGGTATAGGCAGTTTATTATTGAGGCAGAGGGAGGAAGGGATCACTGCCCACTGCCAGCCACAGTGCAAACATGGTCAGGGCCAGAGAGGAGAGGGGAGTCAGGGAGCACGGGGGGGAAGAAGGCAGGAGAGAGTAAGAGAGGAGTGGGGATTGAGGGAGCAGGCTAAGAGCAGGGACAGAGCTTAAGAGAGAGGGTAGGAGAAGTTAAGAGGGGAGGGGGGGATAAGAGTTAAGAGAAGGGAATAAGAATTAAGAGAGAGCTTAAGAGGGGAAGAGGAGAGAAGGGAATAAGAGTTAAGAGAGGGAGTTAAGAGAGCGAAGTTCTTGTTAGAATACATTATATCCTTTTCTATAGTGAATATTCTAACTCCCAATAACCAACCAGTACATGACACACATTCTATAGAATTTACATACAGCCTATAAGAACTACTACATTACCATACAGTGTTACATTTTAAACTCTAAAAGCTACTCTTCAAATTCTTCTCTTGCTGCTTGACCTTTGGATTCAGCATCAGCAGAAGGGTATTGTTCTATCAACAGGGATTCTCCTTCAGCTGGCTAGGCTATTGTTCTTTGGTTGTATAGTGATTAACAGTCAGTATCCTATAGCTCAAAGCTGGTTTTCATTTCTATTTCGATTCTAGGTCTCATCTTTTCAGAATCTTTTTGCTAAACAATCATATTGATAAGGTTTCCCTGTTTCATCCTCCCCAACACCCCACACTCTGTGTTCCCCACAGCATCAACATCCCCGGGGACAGCTACGACACGCTGGGGACGCGGCTGAGGCTGCCCGAGTGCGACGTGTCCTCTCTGTCCGTGTACGGTCACTACGTCCTGCAGCTGCGCGCCGAGGCGGGACGGCTGCGCTCCCCCTGGCTCACCCTCCGCTTCAAACCCATGGATGACAGTGAGCTTCTCCCTGCTCTTCCCCAAAAAACTGCCTGGCACAGCTCCACCCGCCTCTCTGAGGCTCAGGGGGATTTTATCCTTTAGCCTTTTGTCGTTTAGTGTTTTATGGTTTGAACTGTGAAGTCTTGGTCAGGACGCTGGCAGAAAGCAAAATCATTTCATTATCACAGTGTTGATGACCCCTTTGGAGGAGATTTTCAAGGAAAGCATCGTTTTCTCTTAAAATAAGGCACGTGTCTGTTCTCCAGCCAGGGAGAAGTTGTCTTCAAGGAGCCAGACTTCCTGTGCACCTAAATAAATTCAGTTACTTCCTTATTCATTGCTTTGCCAGACAAAAAGCTTAATTTTTATTTTTTCTTACTTCAAAAAAAAACAAACCACTCTCACAGAGAAAGGTTAATTTTCAGCCAAGGAATCTTGATTGCACAAGGCAGAAATAATTCAGACCTTTCCATTTTTCAAGCTGATCATAATCAAAACCCACAAAACCCCACAAGAAAACACTTTTCTAGGGGGTCTGCGCAGGACAGACTGATGTTGTGACAGTTTGGCCCAGAAGGAGAAGTGAGCAGAAGCCATGGAAGTGGTTCTTCCTCTCCTGGAGTCAGCACAGCCGGAAAAAGGGAACTGAGTTTGTTTAGAGGGTGTGGGAATAGAGCCTGCATTGGTACCTGGTGTTTAACTGCAAAAATAAAATCCCTTTTTTTCTGTCAGGAACGGATTTATTTATGCCTGATCCAGGAAAAGAAATTACTTTCTTTTAACACTTTCTTTAAAGGGGGACTTTTGGGCTGTGTAAAAACATCCAGCTGAGCCAGCTGAAGCTGAATTCCCTCCTCTGCTCTCCTCTCCCCGTGTGCAGCCACCGTTGGCCCCCCTGAGGTGAGGCTGAAGTCGGAGTCCGGGGATCTTCACGTGGATTTCTCGGGGCCCTTTGCAGGGCACGGGCAGGACAGGTGGCCCCTGAGGCACTACTATGGCTCCTGGAATTACAGGATCTTCTACTGGAAGAAAGGCAGCACAGACACAGACCTGGCCTCTGCTTCCTGGGTATGGCAACTCCCTGACCTTCAGCTGCGCTTCTCCTGGAAAACACCATCCTGGGAAACTCCTGGGAGCTCCTGGAGGGGCTGGCAGAGGTTGCATAGCTCTGGAGCCAGGCTGGGAGAGCTGGGGGTGCTCACCTGGACAGGAGAAGCTCCAGGGAGAGCTCAGAGCCCCTTGCAGGGCCTGAAGGGGCTCCAGGAGAGCTGGAGAGGGACTGGGGCCAAGGGCTGCAGGGCCAGGAGCCAGGGAATGGCTTCAGAGTAGGATTTGATGGGATCTTGGGCAGGAATTGTTCCCTGGCAGGGTGGGCAGGGGCTGGGATGGAATTGCCAGAGCAGCTGGGGCTGCCCCTGGATCCCTGGCAGTGCCCAAGGCCAGGCTGGACATTGGGAGCTCCTGGGACAGTGGGAGGTGTCCCTGCCATGGCAGGGGTGGCACTGGGTGGGCTCTGAGGTCACTCTCAGCCAAACCAGTCTGTGATTCTGAGAGCAAAACTTGATCTCTACTGATGCCAATTAATCAAGTCTGGTCACTACAGCTGGGACTCAGAGCAAACACAGGAGCTGTGTAATTAAACAGCAGCATGGACAGTTTTCTCTTTCCATACTTATCAATAACTCTGTGGTTAATAACTCTTAGTGGGACTTTGGGCTTTTTACCCCCAAAAATATCTAAAAATGGGTAAGGCTTTTATTCACTGTGGTCACCTGCAGCTCTGCAGTTTGTATCCTCTGCAGTTCCCTTTCTCCCTCTCAAGGACAGCCTCTTCCACAGGTGCTCCTCCATATACAGTGCATGGAGAAAGCTCATTAGTAATGTATTAATTAGAGCATGATGGCCTCTATTTGAGGCCAACAGGAAGCCTCTGAGCAGCAGGCTGTGGTCACAGTTAATGAGTGCTTTGTGCATCAGTGCAATTTTATAAAATGGGACTCCACTCTGTGTAATTGTGATTTGTACCTGTTACCTGCACGGTGCTTTGCCACTCAGCTCCAGAAAAGGAGGGCTCATGGTTTCCCACACTGCTTTTCCATTCCCAAATTCCTGAGGAATGCAGCTGTTCCTGCACCTGGGATGCACCAGCTGGGTTCAGCAGAGGAGCAGAGCTACAGTTTGAGGCTGTGCAACATTTCCAAGTGCAAGGCTGGGAGATTCCCTAGGGCTCGAGGAGGCAGCAGGCCGAGGCTGGCTGGCTTCACAGGTTATTTGGGAGGTGGGTTCCTGCTCCAGGATTGAAACCTGGCTGGAGTCTGCTGTTGAGGAATGCCCTGCAGTCACAGGGACATAACTGATCCTGCACAGCAAATTCATCTGCTCAGCCACCTCACAGCTCCCAGAGAGATTTTCTTTCTTGTTTTTGGTTTTGTCTAGATGCCAGACCACAGAATCACAGAGTTGGGAAGGTTGGAAAAGCCCTCTGTGGCCATCACTTCCAGCCATTAACCAGCCCCCTGTGTTCACCACTAACCCATGTCCCCATGTGCCACATCTACACATTTTTGACACTTCCAGGGGTGGGGACTGCACCATTTCCCTGGCTCATTCCAGGGCTCAACAGCTTTGTCAGTGGAGAAATTTTTCCAAATATCCAATCTAAAACTCCCCTGGCACGACCTGAGGCCTTTTGTGCTTTTCTCCCACTTGCTCCCTCTCCAGTGAGATGGTGTTTGTGTGGCACTGTGCTCCTAGCTGATCTCATTTGGTTGGGTGAGTTTCTGGCTGCCACCAGATATCACTTATCAACCCTCATTAGCCTAAAACTTTGTTAGTGCTGCTGGAAAGAGCCCAAAGGTCGCTGGTGTGGATGGTCTCACGGTGCAGTTGTAACTGTAATTCCTTGGTGATTCCAGAGCTAAGTCATTGATCTCACATGCTTCAGTTTTTTCTGTTTTTCTCTGTTTTCAGGTTGCTCAGGTGGACACCAAACACAACTCTGAGATCCTCTCCCAGCTGGAGCCATGGACAGTTTATTGTGTCCGAGTGCAGGCGGTGATTCCCGAGTGGAACAAGACAGGGGAGCTGAGCAGGGAGCTCTGTGAGCAGACAACCCACAATGGTAACATGGGGAACTGGGAAATCCTGGAATCATACACTGGGATGGCTGGGGAGGGACCTCAGAGCCCACCCAGAGCCAGCCCTGCCATGGCAGGGACACCTCCCACTGTCCCAGACTGCTCCAATGTCCAGCCTGGCCTTGGGCACTGCCATGGAGAAAGTGATAATTTGAAAAGAATTACTTAGAAATTAATGTTGACAATTTTATTTGTTTGGTTTTTTTCCTTGTCTCTTGCAGGTGTAACCCCTGTGTGGGTAATTGTGACTATCCTGGTGGGATCAATGCTTGTTGTGGCCACAGCTGTCACTGCTTGTTTCGTCTCCAGTTTTTATCTCTACAGACTCACCAAACACGTTTTCTGCCCTTCCTATGTTTTCCCACAACACTTGAAAGAGGTTTGTTTCCTGCCTAACACGTGAAAATCAGCTTTTCCAGCAGAGCCATTTGTTTTTTCAAGGCTCTCAGTGCCAAAGTATTTAGAGCTCCTTTTGTTTTGCCTCCTTTCACTGGCACCTGATGCTCAGTGATCTGGAATTTGTAATCACCAGCTTTTTATGGCTCAGAACCAGGATGGGTTTGTTGATTTTGAAATGAGAAAGTACCAGGTGTCAACTTCAGTTCCTCATTTAGCCAGTGAGCAACAGAAATCTGTCTCTCCTGCCTCCTTTTAGACTTAAAGCAGCTCCTTTTTTTCTCCTGCAGCAAAGTCCTGTCATGAGTGCAATCACGAGTTGAACTTCAGGAAGGTGTCTGAGGAAGGAACCTGGGCTGGATCAGCTCTACCAGAGCAGCCTGGGCTGTGGGAGATGTCACTGGCCACGGCAGGGGCAGGATGGGATGAGCTTTGGAGTCCCATCCAACCCAAACCATTCTGGGAATCTGTGATCCTATGGAGTCTGAAAATTGGGGAGCAGTGACAGCAGCCATTGCTGATGGGCACCCACTGCCCCTGTCACACACCCAGAGGACAAGGAGGCTGCAGCAGAATCCCTTCCCAGAAACAAGGATGTACCAAATGCTCCTGCACCAACCTGTGCTCTCCTGAGCTCCTGCAGTTCCTCTGGGGCTTTCATTTTGACTCACTCAGAGCTCAGCACCCCCAGGTTTGCAGCTGACTTTGGCTCCTGATTTAGGTGAGACACCAGGAGTGTCATGGAATATCAGAATCCCAACTGGCTTGGGCTGGGAGGGATCTCAGAGCCCACCCAGTGTCCCCCCATCCATGGCAGGGACACCTCCCACTGTCCCAGGAGCTCCCAATGTCCAGCCTGGCCTTGGGCACTGCCAGGGATCCAGGGGCAGCCCCAGCTGCTCTGGCAATTCCATCCCAGCCCCTGCCCACCCTGCCAGGGAACAATTCCTGCCCAAGATCCCAAGATCCAGCCCTGCCCTCTGCCGCTGGCAGCCATTCCCTGGCTCCTGGCCCTGCAGCCCTTGGTTTGCAGAAGCTGCAGCTCAGCACCCAGGCAGGCAGCACCAGCTCCACACAGGATGTGCTCGAGGCTAAAGACAGGGAGAACTTTGTCCTGGTGCTATCCCAGGAATCCAAGGTCAGCTGTGCCTCCCTAGAATGTGCTCTGACCAAGGCAGTGCTTTCACTATGGGAGTGTTTCAGTTGCAGGTCTGTGCCACAACATTCCCAATCCCAGTTTGGTAGAAAAGGGGCTGATAATGAAGATATTTGTGCTGATTTTTGTTATCTACAGTGCACAGCACTCCTGACAGAGCAGCTGGTTTCTTGTTCCAAATTCAGAATTGTTCCATCTGAGGGCACGAGGATGAGCAGAGGGAGGGAGCAGATCTGTGAGGAAAGGCTGGGAGAGCTGGGGTTGCTCAGCCTGGGGAAGGAAAGGCTCTGGGGTGACCTCATTGTGGCCTTCCAGTGCCTGAAGGGTTCCAGGAGAACTGGAGAGGGACTGGGGACAAGGCACAGAGGGACAGGACACAGGGAATGGCTGCCAGTGCCAGAAAGGATTGTCCTTGACAAATCTGTCTGTGAACTCCTTCCCCTACAGCCCAGTTACCATTTAGTGTTTGTTCCCAATCAAAACTCTGTGAATTTTTTCAAGTTTCTCTTCCAAAAACGACTCTGAGCCCTGAGGTTATTCTTGAAAGGCATTTCCATCTTGTCCCCAAGCCTGGAGCAGAATATTAGGGAGGAAATGACAGTGCTGGCCCTGTGGGATTTGGAAGACCTGGGAAAGCCACTTGATGTGTGCAGAACAATCCCAATGTTGTTTAATAATCCCAGTATTTCTGAGCAAGCAGGATAGGATGGTGGGAGAGATCTAATCCTCACTTCCTCTTTTTTTCCCAGTTTTTGAGCAAACCTCCCAGTGCTCTGCAGCCTTTCCCTCCACTTCCAAATGAAGAACTCCTGGTTTGTGACAAGCTGATTGTGATTTCAGAGCAACCCCAAAGCCTCAGTGAAGGGAGTGGGGATGAGGCCAGCAGGACACCAGAGCACCCTGAGGACTCTGCACAAGGAGCCTCAGACTCAGGATTGGGAGCAGCCCCAGGAAAAACCTAAATATCCTCAGGAAAAACCTAAATATCCTCAGGAAAAGCCTAAATATCCTCCTCATTCTTCCTTTGAGAAGAAGAAGCAAAAGGACTTTTGGGTTTATCTCATGGCTGAATTCTCCAGCAGAAAGAAATCCACAAACACGTGACCACAGACTTCTGACAGAATAATTTTCTTTTTTTAAGTACAAGAAACTTGGCTCAAAATGAGGAATTAAATGATCCACAACTTTTGCCACTGTTGGTTGTGGCTCCCTGAGGAGTTGTAGCAACTCTGGCACTGATTATGACATTAAAAAGCAAATGTCATATTTATATATAACACTAATTACTTTGACAAATTATTTATTGCAAAAACAAATCAAAATGTTTATAAAATAAAATAGTATTTTGTAAGGAAAGACCTGAACTGGTTTATTTTTTTTTCCTAATGAAGAATGATGTGTTTTCAAGGATGTCCCCACTGGCATCATCTTTCTATGGAATTTTATGGAATTTATTCTTCCTTGATGGAAAGCTGTGAAGTTTTTAGGGTGGGATGAGCTGATGTCAGAGGGAAACTCGGCAGCTGAAGTGGGAGTTAAATTAGGTTAATTTTAATTATCTACAGATGTGTATTCTTAATTTTAAAAATCCCAGGAGCTGTGATTCCCTGTTCCAAATCCAGCCCCACCTGCACAGGTGGGTAAAGGCTGGGGCAGCAGTGGGAGCTTTGTCCAGGGGTTTTGTGTCACTGCATCCAAGTGAGAGCGAGAGATGAAATTCTGTCACCAAAAGGAAACGTCCAGGAGTGAAGCCTGGGAACTGCACGGTTCGGGGGCTTGATGTGGAAATATCTCCTGTTTGGGAGTGGCTGCAGGGTGAAAACAGGAATTGATTCCATCAATTTTCATTTCAGAGGATGCTCAGAGTGGATCTTCCCAGTGTCCCCAAGTCCCTGGCAGGAGGGGACAGCCGGGGGGGTCGGGCTCTGCTGCCAGGGAACAGGGACAGGAGGAGAGGGAACGGCCTCAGGCTGGGCCAGGGGAGGCTCAGGGTGGACAGCAGCAGGAATTTGCCCATGGAAAGGGAGCTCAGGCCTTGGCAGGGGCTGCCCAGGGAGCTTTGCAGTGCCCATCCCTGGAGGTGCCCAAGGAAGGGCTGGACGTGGCACTCAGGGCTCTGGGCTGGGGACAAGGTGGGCATCGGGCACAGCTGGGACTCCCTGGGCTGCGAGGGCTTTTCCAGCACCAGGAATTCTGGGATTCTGTGGAATCTGTACCTGTTTTTTCTGTACTTTTTAATTTCGCTCATATTCTGCTTTAACAGGGAACATGGAATTTATTGAATTGATCTTTTACAAGGTGTTTTGTTTCATTGGTGCTTTTCTCTACCTCTCCCCAAGGCTGCTCTGGGAATTCTGATCCTGTGTTTGGATCACCACTCCTAGGAACAAATCCAGCTCCCTGTGTGTTCCCTGTCCCTCCTCCCACCGCATCAGCTTCTTTCCATATTTTCTATTTCCCTTTTTATTTTGGCTTTCAGAGTGGCAAAACCCTCGGGTGTAATGCCTGGTGCAGATGGAGCTGAGGAGGGGCTGGAGATTCCCTGCCTTTCACTGCTCCCGGAGCCGCTTTCCTCTCTCCAGCAGCTGCTTTGCACATTGGAACACGCTGGAATCCACCAGCTGAGGGCAGGTCGGGCAGAGATGAGGCTGTGCCACCTCAGCACGGGCTCATTGCTCAGGGAAATGCAGCAGAACAGAAACGACAGCTTTGGCTGCTCAGGGATACTTTGGGAGTTTGGATGGAAGCAGGAAAAGTGTCTACAAGGACATCCTGGCACAGGGTGCCCAGAGCTGGATCCCTGGCAGTGCCCAAGGCCAGGCTGGACATTGGGAGCAGCTGGGACAGTGGGAGGTGTCCCTGCCCCATGGCCTTGGACAATTCCAGGATTTAGGAGCTGCTAAAATCACTCCAGATGTTTTTTTTTCAGGCTGACCTGCACTTTCGTTTGCTTCAGAAACCTTCCTGCCCCACACCCAGGAAAGCTTTTGTAGGTGAGAGGCCTCTCCCTCAGCCACAGCTTCCATCAGAGCCACGTCGTGAGCCAGGCCTGGGGACAGGGGACACACGGACCCCCAGGAGCCCAGGGAAGAAATCATTTAGAGGAGGAGCAATAATTTAGAGGGCAGCAGCAATTCAGAGGAGAGTTCACCTTGAGCTGAGCTTGTGGACAGCACAGTGACAATAAATCAATAAATCAGGTGAACTTTAACTGTGTGCTGATGTAAACTGAGAGTACAGAGGGATGCTGGAGGCGTGTTCTGGCAGAGCCAGCAGAGAACAGATGCCTTGGAAGGCCTGGGAGTGCTTGGAAAAATATTTCAGACCTGAAATGCAAAGAAAAGTGGAATGATTAAGAAATAGGGAAGTGGGGAAAACTGAAGGAGACGAGTCTGAGCTTGTGGTCAGCAAAACAGGTTCCAGAAGACAGCAATGAGGAAAGAGAGAAAGGAACAGTTCAGACACTTCCAGTCCTGGGAGTGGAGGGAGAATTTCATCAAGAGAGAGAAACCAGAGCCCAGGACCAGCCAAGGGGTCAGGGACACAGTCACCCCCCAGCTCCACATTTTTCTCTCTCCCTATTGGGAATTTCAGGGTCTTCCCTGCCCAGCAGGTCCTGGAGGTTCTGAGTCCCAATCCCACTGAACAGCAGAGCCAGAGAGGCTTTCAGAAATATCCATCCCAAGCTCTAGAAAAGCTTTTAAATTGATTCTTAACCAGAAACACTTGTGCTTGTAACTTCATGCTTTTGTTTTTTCCTGAGGCAGATCGGGAAAGAGCTATTATCACCTGGCAAAATGTCATTTTCTAGAATTCATCATCCTAGAAAATTATTATTGAATAAGTGGGGTGCAGAGCAAGGCTCCTTCCCTTGAGACTGTGCTGCTGTGAGAAACAGAGCTGCACAGAGCAGCTTTACAGGAAGAGCTGTGAATAATCCACAGGCTTTGGACCACCTGTGTGCAATGTACTGGAAATGTTTCTTCCTTGGGGACTGGAGTTCCTGAAGTTCACGGTGCATCCTCTCCAGCCATTGCTGCAGACACTGAGGCCTTGGAATGACGATGGCATCACAAAGATGGATGAGAAGCCCCTGGGGAAGCCTGAGAGAGGAAATCCTCGCTCCAGCATCACCAATGAGCATCACTAACCCCAGGATTCCCCACTGGAGAAAGCACCAAAGAATCTGATGAACAACCTCCAGTTCTTCCAATTTCCTGTCAACCCTGCCACCACATCACTCAAATCTCCTCTCGGATTCCCACTCCCTCCTCTCTGCTCCTCTGCTTCTGGGACAGTTTTTGAAACCACGTTACAGCTCCTCAGAGAGGGGCTTTGTTCTCCCATCTGGGAGAGTGTGGTGACAAAGGCCATGGATGGAAATGCCACCAGGATTTGCAGTGGGTTGGATTTTCAGCCGTGCTGACCCAAGGGTGAAACCAGGCTCTGGAACTCCCCTGAACAGAGCAGAACTCACTGATCACTGTCAAATTCCAGGCTGGACAGGAGAAGCTCCAGGGAGAGCTCAGAGCCCCTTGCAGGGCCTGAAGGAGCCCCAGAAGAGCTGGAGAGGGACTGGGGCCAAGGGCTGCAGGGCCAGGAGCCAGGGAATGGCTTCAGAGTAGGATTTGATGGGATCTTGGGCAGGAATTGTTCCCTGGCAGGGTGGGCAGGGGCTGGGATGGAATTGCCAGAGCAGCTGGGGCTGCCCCTGGATCCCTGGCAGTGCCCAAGGCCAGGCTGGACATTGGGAGCTCCTGGGACAGTGGGAGGTGTCCCTGCCATGGCAGGGGTGGCTCTGGGTGGGCTCTGAGGTACCTCCCAACACAAACCAGTCTGGGATTCTAAATATTCTCCATGAAGATGGAACTTGTAGATGTGTTCAAAATTACACCTTTTGAAGGCACCACAGGCTGTAAACAGAGGTTTATGCCAGGCTTTCCTCATTCTGTCAGCCTGGTCGATGCCACCTAGGACACTTCTGTCCTTCCAAACCTAATCCCAGGATCACCAGGGCTGGAAGAGCCCTTCAGGACCATCCAGTCCCACCCAGCATCACCCCAAACCCTGTCCCCAAGGGCCACATCCAGACTCCTCTGGGACAATTCCAGCGACTCCAAACCTCCCTGGGCAGCTCATCCCAAGGCCTGACCCAAAAGTTCATCCTCGCTGCTCTTCAGCTCTGCTGAGCCTGGTGGAGGAAGCAGGGCTGGCAGGGTGGGGAGGGGCACCATGAGCAGACTCCACAGGGAGATGATGTAACGTGGCCTGGGGAAAGAAGCCTGATGGCAGAGTAATGACAGCGTTAAAAAATGGGAAAGGCTTCTGAGGGCAGGGAGTGAATGATGAAACAAAAACCAATACAGGGGATACTGCCTGAGAAGGGGGATATTAAAAATAATCTGTTTTGGGATCTGATCCCTCCTTGGGCTCCCTGAGGTCCTTCCTTCCTGGACCACTGCTCCTACACTTTTCCCACAAGATGAAATGCTGTATTTGCCCCTTTCATCCTGTTCCAGAGCTGACATGAGAAGAAACCACCAAATTCTGTCTCCTTTGTCTGTCAGCCAACAGAAATAAGTCCAGCAGAGCCCAAAGGGCCTCGTTTCCTCCGTCACAGGAGTGTTTTGGGACAGATATCAACGGGCACAGGGACACACCTTGTCCTCCCCTGGCTGCCTGTGCTCTGCAGACAGCTTCTCTCCTCACAGCCTGGGCAACACCAGCTTCTGTTTCTTTCTTCTGTAGCATCAGTGAGGAAGTTGTATTCAAACTCAGAGAAGACAAACTGTAAATATCTAGTGGGTTATAAAATGTTTCTAGCAGTGGTTCAGCAGTTGTGCTTCATGGTCTACGTGGCAAAATGCTTACCCTGAGGTGTGGTTACATCAAGAACTTGTCATAAACTTGTTTCCTTATCAACTGCTGGGGCAGGAGGTAACCAATCCTCGCAGGATGAGTGTGGCTCAGGCTCAGCAATGCCCTGCGACACTCAGCAATGCCCCTCACAGGCTGTCAGAGCCATGGACTGATCTCCTGCAGGCTCAAAAATCCAGAGCCTGCAGCATCTCCATGTCCAGGAGAGCCTGAGGGAGCTGGGGCTGCTCAGCCTGGAGAGGAGCCCCAGCTGAGAGGGGCCTCAG